CAGTCAATAATGTCAGGACATTTCGGCAAACATTGCTGCAGTCTAACATCTACAGATATTTGCATGAAGGAAGCATAGATTCTTAAATACTTTTTTTGTAACTCTTACATGCAGCTTTTATGTCTAACCCACAGAGGATGCAACTCATGCATTTCCTAGCTGCAGAACCTAGCTCTTTTCTTCAAGCCATTGAAGTGCATGCTTTCAACCCTGCAGGTCCCCTGTTCAATTCCAAAGTGCTTCTGTAGCATTTCTTGTGCATTGTACTTAAGGGAGAAGAAAGCCCTGTCACTAAAGCACATGTGCAATTTGTATGATGGAGCTAAGGAAGTTTCCTTTCAGAGCTCTATAGTAGGGTATGTCTTCCCTGGCTCCGAAAGTTCAGTAACTCTCTAGTTAAGGAATTCACTTTACCTCTTGCCTATATTTTTGTCTGTATTTTTCATTGCAGTTTATTACATTTATCATAGAATTCTTTATCACATCATAATTTAGTGACCTCTGGGTAGCTTTTCCCCCATTAGGAGTTTCACAAACTATCCACTATATAATATGTCATTACATTTTCTCATGCATTTTTGCCTTCAAAGCAGAATAACTAAGGGAAGTGCTCAGTTCATGATTGATTGGGGAATGTACAATTTCAATTCCCTTAGAAAGTGGGTGTGTAGTTACTTGAGATTGTATTACTTTGGATAGTTCTGATTTCAGGGAATCATAGTTAGAGTTGCAAACAATCTGTTAGGTCACTCATCCAAACCCTGCCAATATGATATTGTTCCCTGCAGTATATTTTTGAATGTTTTGTCCAATTTAGTTTGAATGACTCAAGCAATAAGGCTTCCACCACTTCCTCTGAGAGACTATTGTATGGCCTAATAGCTCTCACTGTTAGGAAATATTTCCTGGTATTCAGCCTAAGCTTTCTTAGTTCAGATTCATCTTATTATTTTTAGTTATACCTTCTTAATTTTCCCAAAAATTATTTTCCTGCATTGGCAAGTACATATTTATTTCTTGTAGACTTTTTCTTGTAAATAGGCCATCTGCTGAGGGGAAGGGGACTATTTTTGATTAAAAACTGTGAAAAAAATGTTAGCATCACAGGCTTCTGAGGGACCCAGAATCTTATTTTTAAAAGAAAATAATTTATTTTGAAGTATTACATAGAAGTTGGTAATTTCTTCAAAAAAATTAGAGAATTTTGAGAATTTAAATAATAGACATTCTCTAATAGTTTTTCTGGCTGCTTTCTTCCATAAATGTTTCATATACATTCTATACTAGATTTTAAGCAGCAAAGAAGTGTGTACTTACACACACAGGCAGCAGGAGCCCAAGCTGCTCATATTGTAGTGATGACATGAAATGTTCAATGACCATTTGAAGGATTTTTATTTGCTAATTCACAGATGAAATTGATATATTGGGCTCTCAGCATCCCGATCAAACTACATAGGTGACTGCCAGGTGGGGAATGTAAACTGATCTTTCTAAGTATAACTATTTGATTTTACTCCCTACCCCCTGTGCAACCATAGAGCAAGTTTGTAGCCACTCCAATCTGTTTTTTTGGCACTAGTTCTTTTTAAAGTCCTAATTCAGCCATTACTTTCTTGATTGTGCTTTTCATACTTGACTTAATCAACTTTTGCTGGATCTTTGCCTATGTACTTTCGAAACACTGTACAAATGTGAATTAATGACCTTCATAGTCTTAGTTCCCCTTTGAATAACTATTGCTATCTCCATTATATTAACTGATGAAATAGAGAGATTAAGGGACTTTCCCATAATGATACAGTGAGTCACTGTTAGAACTGACAGTTTGATTTATGGAGTTTCTTGCTGACGGTCTGATTCTTAGTTGACTAAACGCTGTTCCTCCTGAATGGTCCTAATACACTGCAGTGCACAAACACTAAATAAAATTAATTAAAAGTCCATCCTTGTTCAGAAAATAATGGGCTCCTATACACGTGCAGGGAGGCAGCTCCGATGCACTGTGATTAATCGTCTGCTGGGGCGTGGTAATTACCATGCTCCAGCAGACTCCAGCATCACGTGTATCGGCATGCCCGCACGGAAAAATGGCAGCAGGGTACTTTAAGCTAAAGCTCATTTGAGGAGTTAAAGTTCAAAGCACCCTGTCACCATCTTTCAGCATGGGGACGCTGATATATGTGCTGCTCTGGGTGCATTAATTAGCGTGGGTCTCAGTGCTGCACTAGTTAAAGTGCCCCCCAAAACACATGCACACTTCCTGGAGCATGTCTATAAACACCCAATATGTGCTTAACTCTTAGCCTAAGCTTACATACTTTAATGAACTGAAGTGTGAGGAATTTAGGTATTCATTTAGAAACAGAATCAGTGGCTTAATTTAGACGAATTGTGCCCTCCTATCCACAGCCCAGATTGCAATTTGATGGAACAAACCAATTCTGTGGGTTTTTTTACTAGTTTTGTGAAAGTGGATGAATGAGCTAATATGTAGAACCATATTATTGTACTGATTCACTGCATCTTCATTATTGGAAGATAGAGCAGTACTAAGATAAGAGTTAAGAGTTAATATGTCAATATTTTGAACGTATCAAATCACCAGCTTGATTTGATTATCTGCTGATTATTAGGTTCCTGCAAATGTCTACAATAACAAAAACCAATAATAAACTGAAATAAGAGAGGTAGGCGTTGCTTCCGTGAAACAAGGGTGAAAATGAAGAGTTTAGACAGCTTCTACGGATCCCTCCCCACTTTGTCTTTTTTCCTCTGGTGGTTGGTTGTTACCTGAAACCAGACAGTGGAGTAGGGTGGCCATCATATGGGACATTCTGGTTTTCTGCTATTCTGTCCTCTATTGATATGAAACTGGCACGGGATGGGGTCCTCAAGGATGGCCGTGTTACCCCTAGGGCCCCTTGACTGTGCCAATATGGCCCGCTGGGCACCCTCTATTCTCACCCGCCACATCCTGATGTAATGGTAATGAGTAGGGAGGCTGCCTTCATGTCCAGTTGGACACGATCCCGATGGACTTCCCTGGACCCCGTAGCCTTATGGGCTACATGCATGGCTCCCACCGCCCCTTTACCACGCCCCAAGCCTTGCAGATGGTATTGTCGTTGTCTCTCCCGGGCTTTGCTATGACTCAGCCCCTTGCTCTTACTAGGCTCTCCACGGCTCTGTCTCTGCGCCCCTCAGCACTGGGCTCTCCACAGCCCTGTCTCTGTGCCCCAAAGGCCGTGCCCTCACTGGCACCAGGGTCCCCACGCTGTAGTGGGCCCCCAATGAGGCCTCTTCCTTCCCTAACTAGACTCACCCAAACCACCAGTTGTTATGAAACAGCAAACAAAACATAAGCCCCTGGGCTATAACATAACACATAAGTTCCCATCGTTCTATATCCCTTTAAAAGAATCAAACTTTGCCCCAGGCATTCCCAGAGCTAGACTCGCCCTCAGGTCTCTTCCCCTAGCTCCCTCTAGGAGGGTCCTTCCCACTTGGCTGCTGGCAGCGAACTGCCCTCCTAGTTCCCATCCTGTGATTTATATGGGTCCAGGGCCCTGCCCCTTCCGGCCAGCTGACCAGGTGCAGGCTAATTTCCTCATTAGCTGATTGCCATGGCAACCTGCACCTGGGCTCCTTTCTGGCTTTTTGGGCTCTCCCCAGGCAGTTTCTACTCTTCTAGGAGCAGGCACCTAAGTTCCCTGCGACAGAAATCCTACGCCTTTATGTCTTCTAGAGGCAGGTTTCATATGAATAGAGGACAGAGTAGCAGAAAACTGAAATATCCTCTATGATGCCTACCCTACTCCACTCTCTGGTTTCAGGTAATAACCAACCACCAGAGGAAAAAAATAGAGAAAAATAGAGGACATAAAAGCATTGGGTTTTGTATCAGTAGAGGACAACCGGACTGTCCTCTTTGATGGCCACCCTGCACTGGAGATGTGGAGCTCATACATTCTGTGCGTCTCATCCTCGGTTCTCTCACCTCTCCCTCTGGATAGTTTGTCTTAACACAGAAGGCGCAAGCAGCTTTGAATATTATTGCTGCCATGAGAGAGTGAAAGGGCTCGTTTTAGTGTTGACTTGTAGAGAGCACTGGTGCACCCTCTGACTGGCCGTTCTTGCCACTTAGGCGATGGGCAAGCGGGGAAGAGCACAGGTGCCCCCCCCTGCAAGCACCAGTTGATTGCTGCAGCCACTCCCAGAAGTAACCACAGTCACTCCCAGAAGCAGCAGTAGCGATCAGCTGTCACGGGATCAGCCGCGGGTGTGGGGGGAGACCCCCCCCCGGTTGGCATGCTCGGCCATGGGAGACCCCTCCATCAGTGGGACTGGTTGCAGGGGGAGCATGTGTCCCCCCAACTAAGGTGGCACCAGTCACCCATGCGTTGTCTTGATGTTTTAGAAGTGCCTTGCCTTTTATTCTGTGTTAGGGCTTCTACCCTCATGACTCTGGGGCCAATTAAGGTGAATTCAAGCACTCAGGAGAGTCAACATCATCACCATGGAGATTTTTAGGCCTTGGGTAACAGTCGAAAGTTCTGTTGCCAAACACCCCTTACACGTTTAATCAGTTAAACTCTTCCAGAAACACAAAAACCAAGATGTGTGGGGTCATGCGAGGATCTTCTGGATGAGGTAACAGACTTGAGACCTACAGTCAGCAAATCTTCTTTTTAAGAATCTAATGACCTAATTAACACATTCTCTCTCTGCATGTATTCTCCTTAGGGCAATTACTTCAGTTTTCTTATCGTTGAAATATTTTGGACTTAGACTGATGGAGAACTGGAAAGCTAATTTCAGTACATTCATGATTTGTCCTAAAGGTTTTGGAACTAAAAACACAGGCTGCTTTTACATTTAAGAAAAAAAACAAGTTCTACTATAATTAAGCTATTAAAGTTTTTGCAGGCCTAGCTCAGTTCTTGGCCTGTGGCCCTGAAATATCATATGTCTGAATATCTTTGTTTTTACATTTCAAGAGTGCATTTTGTTTCTCTGCAGGTTATCCAGGCTGTCTTTTTTGGGATCTGTGTATTGACTGATCTCTCCAGTCTCCTCACCAAAGGAAATGACAACCAAGAACAAGAAAGACAGTTAAAAAAGCTCATTTCTCTCCGTGACTGGATGATGGCTGTTTTAGCTTTCCCTGTTGGAGTTGTAAGTATGGTGATAAGGAGTTCATTTCAGTATCAACAAGGATAGCTTATATAGTCTATTCGTTATTTTCTGGCTGCAAAAAAAAGATTTTTCCATTCTCAGAAAGAGTGAAAAAAAGTAAAATTGATGTTAAACTGTGCTCCCTCTTATTTATCCTGGAGATAACAGACTGCTGATATTACTGGAATTATGGTTTGGTTACTTATTTAATTTCATTTTTAAAAACTGCCATAGATATATGATGTACATGAAATATATTCACACTTCAGTCTTGATCTTGCATGTACAGTGAAAACTGTCTAAGACAGAATCTGTAAAACTTGGAAACGTGCTCAAGAGAGAGAATTTCTACAGTTCCAGTATGTCTTATAGTGAGTCACATATGTTTAGCCTGTATAAATCAGAACTGTCTAATGCAGAAATAGAAAGGGAATCTGGGGCCCATTTGTAGAATCGCCCAGCAAATCATGGAGAGTAATTACATAGTGTCTAGGTGCAGACATTTGGGGAGATTAGATTGTGTTAAAAATGGCCACCTAATCTTTGTTTGCCCAGGTTTGGACCTTAGACTTAGATCCCTAGTTAGGTCAATCTAAATGTGAACTGTACAGAAGTTCAGGAAGGTTATATTGGTCTAAAAGTGGCTGACCTGATCCAAGTTAACTGTACCTTGGAAAGTCTGATTTAGATCAAGTCCAGCAATACCGATCTAACTGAAATTCTGTACAGTTCCCAGCATAATCCCAGGGCTGGAAAAGTTCCCCCACCCCTGACAATGGGGTATTTTTAGTGCCCCCCCCCCCACCTTGGACAACCCCCCTCCTGTCCACAGAACAGCCAGACCCTCCCCAAGCCTGCCAACCCCCACTTATTGCAAGCAGCTCCTGGTGCCAGTTTTACTGGTGTTCGCTGTTGCCGGGAGCTGAGGAAGTAAGTTGGAGTGGGGTGGGACCAGAGTGGGGGATTTGTTCACTATGCAGGGGGAGGTAGGGAGGACTGAAAATAGCCCCTCATCCTGGGTGAGAGCCCCACCCATCCTGACACCCTCCCTACAGAGCTACCAGTCCCCCTCCCCCCATCCAATCTCCTCCCCCACCCTAATTTACTTCACTTAGGCTCCCAAAATCAGTGAATGCCAGTAAAACCAGCCCTGGGAGTGGTCTGCAGGACCAGGAGCAGTTTGGTGGCATCAGGGGAGAGGAGGAGACTGGATTGGAGACCATCTCTGATCTTGCCAAACCCCCGTCCCAATTCCCCAAATCTCCCCCTCGCCCTCCTTGGGCCCCCTGATCCTGCTAAACTGTCTTGGACCCCACCAACCCCACTATGGACCCCACTGGCCCCCCAATCCCACCAACCCCTGTCACAGACCCTGCTAGATCCATTTTACCAAGTCCCCTGAAGACTGAGATAGACCCTCTGATTCTGCCAAACCCTCTCAAGCCCTACTTGCCCTTCTGATCCTTCCAAATCCCCAGGGACCCTGTTTGCTCCTCCGTTTCTTCCATGGACCCCACTTGCCCTCCCATGCCACTGTGGGATAAAACTCAGGATTCCAGTGCTTCCTACCCAAAATTTCAGTTTGGGTCAGGTTTGTCCAAACCCTGGCCACAGTTAAGAAAAGATTTGTGAACCTTGAAGTAAACACCTGCCTACATTTTCAAGCTGTAATGAAGCCAGTGGCTAGAGCTCACTCTTAGCTTCTTAAGAAGGCTTGGCTATTCTAATTGAGCCTTGTAAACCACTATTCTTTTTTACAGAAATCCACTTAAGGTCTCAAATAAATTTTGTTCCATAACTACTAAGCACTCACTGTAACGTCATAGTTATTAATCAAAAATACTAATTTGCATTATAGAGTTTTATATACTTGGATATGCTTCACTGGAACTAGTTTTCATCATCTATGTGGGATTTTACAGTACGTGAAAAAATACAGAAATGCTTGTGCAAGCCTGTAAAATACAAAACACGCGTACAGCACTGCCCAGGTGTTTCTTTCCCACGTTACCAACTGGTAACCTTAAGTTACAGCATGCTAGCTTACTCCTGAAAAAAACTGCCACTTTTATGTTGTGTTAACTAGCTACAGGTTTCCAGCTAAAATACAGTATAGAAAATACACATCATAATTAATTTGTGGGATTAATTTTAAAATGTATTAATAAAAAGGCTTGCAAGTGATCTTTTTTATTTGTATTTTGAGAAAGGTTGGGAATTGTATAGAGTGGGTGTGTGTCCACTCGCCTCCCCTTTCTCCTGCTATGATCACTGGGACCTCTACCTCATCTTCACTCCCTCTCTCCCATCTTGATGTTATGCTATTCTTTAGGAGGTTGGATGGTATGTAGAGTATTAGTCTGACTGATAAAGGTTGGTCTTCCACAGGGCTCCACCACTGCTACACCCTGCCCCTTTCCTCTCAGGTGATGAGTCATACTTCTCTGTGGACAGTGAGTGCAAGTCACTGGGTCTTGGTTTCTCCCCAACCCAGTTTGGTTACTTGCTCCACAGCTGGTTGGTGTCTGCCCCCTAGATAAGTCTCTCTCTTCAGGTTTTGATGTTCCAGTCTAGTCTGCAATCACTTTTCTTCTCCCTGGGGTTGGTGGACCTTGGGTGGTGAAATCTCTGCCCGCTGGTCTCCAAGATCTTCAAGTAGGCAGCTCTATAGGGCCCAGGTATATGTATTATAACCTAATTAGCTGTAACTCAGATGCACAGGGGATCTAACTTCCCTCTGCTATCCCTTCCTTGTCTGGGAGTCCTAAATAAAAAAATAAATAGGCTCTCACCCTTTGTTTGTAGTACATTCTCTGGAAGACAAAAAAAACCCCTCTGAACCCAGGTTCGAAGGTCCAGCTCAGCTCCCTGTAGCTGGTTCGAACCTGTTGGCCATATAGTCAGTTCATCCAGGCAAATCCCTCCTTTGCCTGGGCTATCTTGGGGTCCCTTGAGGTTAATCCTGTCTCTCTGGTCGATTTGTGCCCTCTTTCCCGATGGGTTCAACAAACTTTTTCCTGGATACTCTCTCCATCTGTCCCAGCCCCAATGGCTTGTGAGTACACCCACCACTACCCTGCCATCCGGTGTCACTTATCTTGCTCAATGGGTCAGGTTGCTCATTCACTTGTGGTTGTGCTATCCTGGCGTCCTACAAGGGTTCAGCTGGTTGAGTCTCCCGTGCGGTGGAGTCCTCTTTCTGGTCCTGCTGTACCACTTTTGTTCCCCTGGACACCAAATGCCAAACCTCTCTTGGCATCCTTTTTTTAAATCATGCGTGCTTCCTCTGATCCAATCAGCACCAGCTCCCAGGGCATGTGCTTCCCAGACCCTGGAACTGGTGTGCCGCTCCAGTTTTTCCCCAGAGCTCTTTTTCAGTGCTCCAGGGAAGTGCGGCCTATCCACACACCCCCAGGTAAGCTTCCCCCCTCCCCTGCCTAGAGTTCTCTGGCATGCCGGATTGAGTCCTGCAGCTTGTCCAGACCCTGCTGGGCAAGTTTTCCCCTGGAGCTTGTCTCTGGTGCACCTGAAAGTGCAGCTTTCCCAGACCCCACTGGGTGAGGTTTCCCCTGGAGCTCGTCTTCAGTGTGCTGGGGAAGCTCACCCAGATGCCACCGGGTGAGGTTCCCACCAGCACCGCCCCTCCCATCGGGGGTCTAGCAGGGGCTGCACCCCAGCCACTGGTACATATAGTAATTGTGATTCTGCCTGATAACAGAGGCTTTTTTCATTTATTTATTGGATTTCTATGCTGTCCTTCCCCAAAAAGGCTCGGAGCAGTTTACAATAAAACAGGAAAAATTATAAAAACAGAACAAAATATTAAAGTATAATAATAAGATGACTGCCCAGACAATACCCCAGAAACTTAACCCTACCTGCTACTATGTTGAAACTAGAAAAGAGAAAAGCCCAATAAGACCTATGTAATATTGTTTATTTAAATGCTTGAGGGATTTTTAAAAATCCACAATTCAAAGCTTTCATGCACATCAAGATTCTCCCACACTCTCTCTCACCAGGTGTTCAGTATCTGCTGTGCTGCTTATAATACTGTGTTCCTCTGTGTACTGTTTCAGCTCTTTGACATCTCCATACTTCCTCAGCACATCCTCTCCTCTTTTCAGACCTGAAACTTCCCAAAGCAGATTGAGGCCTCCTCAGAGGATGTTAATTACACCCTCTGTTAGCAATAGCAGGAGAGTTTCTAAACTGTAGATCCTGAGTAGCTGTGATAAACCTCATTCTTACCTTGGGATAACCCCAGAACTCCAGGCCTTCTCCCCATCATTTTGCTGTGTATTTTCAGGCATCTGACTCCATCTTGTACATGGCAGACTTCTCTCTCACTAGCAAGACTTTGTCCTAGCAGCATCCAGACTGGACCTTACAGCTTAGTGGCATAGGGGCCTGTGGCCTCCTAGGGTTCCCTGGGTTTGCAAAAAATAGGTTTGCTGTCCCCATAGGAATAGCATGCCTGTTGATGCCAGCCACTCCTCACAAGTCAATGGTAAGGTAAAAACCCCAAACAGGTTTATTGTATAAGACAGAAAGACACAGGACAAAAGTCTGTTACATTTGTGAGCATGTACAGAAATAAAACCAAAACACTGCACTGCTACCCAGTTTGTAACTGGGGTGGGGCAACTGCCTCAGACAGAGGGTTGGACTAGATGATCTCTGGATGCCCCTTCCAACCTTCTCTGATTTCTGTGACTGGGTCAGCAACCCCAGACACCAGCTTAGGAAGGGGGTAGGAAAATATCAGCTGCTGTTGCAGTCGCTCGATCATGTCAGCAGCATGATGGTAGCTGGAAGTCTCCACTGCCCCCAGTGTATCTTCTGACTTAGGCGCCTGGCTGCTTTATTAGACCCCTGCTGCTGCTGCTGCTTTCTAACCTGAAACAGGTTCCTAATATTCTCTCAGTTTCAAGCTGCTAGCAACCTATTAACTTCTGAAATGATCCTCCAGACTCCTTGCCTGGCATTCCTTGCTTCCA